GAGAGAGAGAGAGAGAGAGAGAGAGAGAGAGAGGGAGAGGGAGAGAGAGAGAGAGAGAGATCGTGCTTTCGACATGAGCTATTAGCTGGAAGAGGGGAGGGATAAGTCGACTATATATGGCACATGGGAAGCAGCGGTAGCAGCAATAGCGCGTGTCATTTACAGAGTATATGTATTTCTTGTGTAAATGTGTCTCTCTACGTACGTGATGGAGAGAGGAATCAAGTGAGAGTGGTACCCACGAGTGGCACGTTCCAAGACGGCAGTACTGTACCGGGGGACGGGGTGGTGGCACAGGTACCTCGCTGAGGCTGTCGCCTGCACATTCCCTTTCCCCACCCCTCCTCCCCCGTGGCACCTCGCGCATGCATAGATAAAGAAAAATAAAAAAAGCTACATAACCTTCGCTGGCGTTGTAAACAGGCAGGAGGAGCACACACCATGCAAGCAGCCCCGGCCCCGCCACCATAAACACAAGGAGCGTTGCCAATTTACGAGGAGGAGCAAGAGGTGGAGATTTGATGGCGGGCGCGCGGGGACAAAATCCACACCAGGAGCTGCAGCGAGGACGGCGTCGGCCCCGCCCGGTGATAAAACAAGCGAATGTGCTCGGCGGGACCGGCCAGAGCCGGGTAGGTTCTCTCTCTCTCTCTCTCTCTCTCTCTCTCTCTCTCGCTCTCTCTCTCTCCCCGTCTCTCACTTGCTATCGCTTTAATCCTCAAAAGAGTGAGCGGTATACGAGACGAATAATGACACGTGGAGTTGCCCTACCCACCCTGCTGCTGCTCCCGCCGCTCCCCTTTCTACTTACCCTCCTGTACCGAACACTCCCGGGGGCCACGCCTCCACCGTATTCTAGACGCCAGGCACACACCTACACACCTACACACACGCGCGCACGAATACAATGCTCGGCTCCATTCCTTATTAAGTTGGTATTGCCGCATGCGGTCGGCCGGCAGGGGACTCAATGGGTTCAGACAATGGGGAGGCGAATGGACTACCGGGGGGCAAGAAAGGTGAGCAGAGGCCCCAAGAGCAGGCGCCAGGGTGGCCTGGCCTGGTTGGCGGGCGGGTGGGCCCGGGTGGGCCGACGCCCGCCCAGCGGGCGGGCCACCCAGCCCTCTGCGGGGGGCTGCCGGGAGGACCCTCTCCAGTGCGTAAATTTGAGCTTCAGACTAGACGACGAAGACCCTCCCCCTTATCCTTACTCCACACAAGACAAGCGGAAAGCGTCCAGAGCGCGGCGACTGCGGCTCCTCCCACAGTCCATCATCAGCGCAGCATTAAAGGCGCCATCAAGGAGCATACCGCGGAAACGAAAAGGCTTATGCTCCGCGGCGGAATAGCGTTTCAGGGGTGGCTGACCCCCGCGGCTTTACTTCTGGTGGGGCGTTTGAACCCCCAGGGGACAGGGCAAAGGGCGCACGCACGCGCAGGTGTTCTTGTGCACCGCTTTGTCATGCTAGTAGCGGGCTCCGGTCGGCCCGCCCCGCCGCCGCTCCCCTGGGGCCGCCACGCGCCGCCACGCCCCGCCGCACCCCACTCAGCCGCGCCATTAGGTAACGCAACACTACTGCCACATTAAGGGCGCAAAACATAATATAAATAATAATTGAGTAACAGGAACGCAGTGCGCGCCATATCAAATTGATGGAAATCTTAAAAAAAAAACTAGAAGACAACTTCGTGTCTAAAAACTGACAATTGACCACGCCAAGGCGAGGCCAGCTGATGTTTCGGCTGTCGTCAGACTACTACGCAGCTTCGTTTTAACAGCTCCGTTTTACATTTTCAACCAGTGGCCATAGAGGACGGATGATGTGGCTGCAACGGCAGGCCACACCTTGGCCACCTCCCTTGAGATAGTCGCCTCGTGCACCCCGACACCACCACAGCGCCCACCCGCGTGAAGACTTCGCACGGTCCATGAGTCATGGCGCCGTCGTCAAAGTTCCCAGGGAGGAATAAGTCTTTGCCACGGCAACGGGCGCGCCACCCTTATGGAGACCCCAGTCGCGACAGGTCGGACGGACGGTCTTCTGTAGAAGAGGGAAGGACAGGGGAAGGAGGAGGGGGAGAGAGAGAGAGACAGAAAAAAATGGGCCCGCCTTTCATGAGGCTCAAGTACATATAAAACATGACCCCTGCGCAGCGCGCGGCAGAGTCTCATATTTTGAGAGCCTTGCCGTGTTTCAGCGGCCGCAATAAATGGCTCGGCAACCATTACTTCCCTCCTAAATGGATGCGGGCAACGTTACGTTGCGCCCGTTACGGAGCCCCGGTCAGCGCCAAGAAGCACGGCGGGAGAGAGAGAGAGAGAGGGAGGGAGAAAGAGGGTAGGAGAGAGAGAGAGAGAGAGAGAGAGAGAGAGATGCGGCGAACGAGAGAAAGAGTCAGAGTTGTACTGTACAGCGTGTGTGGCGATGTAGCCGTCGAGACGAGCGGGGCGCGGGGTGGGGTGGAGAGAGGGGGGTTCATATTACACTCCATCAGACCGGCTCGGCCTGTCGGCGTAAACATACAAAACATTCGCCAGCATAGCAGCTTCGCCTTGTTACAGGGATGTAAAACGAGTCATTGCGCGCCGCCGAGAAGGAACCCGTTTTATCGGCAGACATGCAGCCTGCCGTCAGGAGAGCGACGGCAGAAAGAGATAAAGGAACAGAAGGCGCCGGAGAGGATGCGTCTGCTGAGCCAAGAGGCTGGCGGAAACTGCACGTGTGTGACTTTCCACTTCGGCACAGTCACATCAAGACAAGAACTATAAACAGTCGAAATTTGACAATAACCTGTAAGATTTAGCTAACATGTAAGGGTCTTTCCCACACTACGTAAATTTTAGCAAGGATGAAGGGTTGCAAACATTTTGGGGGCTCAAAAGAATCTAGATCATAATTGTATAGTCGATATAGACAACATGATATTTTTGTACCTCGCGTTTTCAATATTTTGAGGTCCGGTAGACTCATAATGATCGCACAATATTTGTATCCCTCCGAAAGGTCACGTAATATGGGGGGAGCGTCACACGACACCCTAAAGGCATTACCAGACAGGCGGGTACATTTCAAACATTTCCCGCCCCAAAAGTTTCAATAATCGCTGGCCAGCTCGGCGGCACACACAGCCGTTTAATCTTCGCGGCCCTCACTCGCAGCAGGCCGGTCCGTGGGCTGCTCCTGCCACTTTTGATTCTCGATGAATAATGATTTTTGCTGTTGTTTTTCCCTCCCTGCTGCTCCCGATCCTCCTCTATCCCTTTTGAATTTATAGCGCGAGCGCCCACAAATTTGCACTTGTCCCGACGACACATGAATCAGCTCGGGCAGGCCCGCCACTCACTGTACACGCGCTGTCGGCGCGCGCACGTATGGACCCACCGGCACCGGCCTGCCTGTTTTATGAATGGGGATTATCAGTGCCGAACCATTCGTCCTGTTGGGAAAACACAAACATGCCACGCAGACCAGACAGAGACACACACAGGCGCGCGCGCACACACACACCCACGCGCTCTTTGAATCAATGATGCCGGGCTGATTAATTTCAATAGAAATCACGGACAAAGATGAGCAAACATAACCGATTCCTCCAAAATGACCATTTGTGAAAACGATTTTAAACATTAAGTGAGAGGAAAAAAATGCGTTAAACACCGCACATTTTTTTAAAACTAAAATTTCGAAGCAAGAATTTGTCGTCTTGAACGAAAACAAAAAGCATGGTGTTTATGTTCACCAAACCTTTTTCTTTAGGAATCCGTCAGGAAATGTAAGCAAGCCGGCTTCCTGAAAACATCAGCTTAAGCTCCCGTTTTCGACGTGGGTACAGAGAGTCACGTGTAGGTTATTCGCGGGAAAACTTACTTTTCTGCGCAATTTTCATTTTTCTTTTGCCCTGCTTTTACCTGCCCCTGTCCACGTCGTCCGTGCACACGACTAAAACGAAAACACACACGTGCACACACACACGAGTAGGAATACGTGCAGCTGATCCAGGAACCTGATAATAAACGGTTCAACGTCGCTCCTGACAGTCCCTGGGCCCTGGGCTCGCCCCGGGCGGCGGAGGGCCCAGTGCCCTGGGCTGGCTAGGGCCCCGGTATGGTCCTGCATTCTACGCACGGGTGCGCCTCCCCCCCCCCCCTCCAGGACCACCAGGGGCACCGGGGCACCGGGGGCTCCTCAGCAAAGCAGCTCCGGGCGGCCACTGCCCCTACCTACCCCCTCACACACACCAACACACACGGGCCACTTAGTCGGTTTTAAAACGCTTTTCGACGCGCGCATGCGGAATTAAATAGAGCCGTAAATAAAATATATCGATCCTCCGCGCTAATGGCCAGCGGGGCGGGGCGGGGCTGCACGCCGCGGCGGCAGGCCGTGGAGTGGAGTAGCCAGATCCCGTGGGGGAGATCGAAATGGCATCAACAACTTGCTCCGGGCGTTCGAGGTCGCGCGCGCAGCAGTGCGGCGGGGCGTGGCGGGGCGTGGTCGTCGCTGGTCGGGCGGACAACTCACCCACCCCCGATCGCTCTACATGACAATGCCAAACGCACACAATTTATAAGCGATTTACATAGGGTCTCTACTATACGCCGGTGGCTATGCGGAATTCCCCCCCCCCCCCCAACC